AGATTCTTAAATTTGTATGTATGAAAAATATATAAATATATATATTGAGAAAATGTCAACTTCTTAAATATGAATATTTATTTTTCGAGTAATTAGTGACATTAATTTTTGTAGTTAAATATAAATAAATATTCCGTATTTGTTGGTCTCAAATATAAATTAATTTCACTCTATTTAATGTTAGTATTTTTAAAATATTCATTTATTTAATTAAAATTATATTTTAATTTTTTTATTATTCTTATATCAAATTTTAAGAAAAGATAGTTTAAAAAAATAAATTATTTTTAACTGAGATTAACAAAATTAAATAATATAAATTATATTTTTTAATTAACATGAATATATATTTTTTATTTTCATAATCGAAAAATTAAAGTATTATTTTCAGAAACAATTCAATTTGGGACAGACAAACATTTCTTCCGACAAAGATTCAACCATGATTTATCACAATTGTTAGAAACTCACCCTTTTTATTTAGACCCAACGAACTCTCGTTGATTAATCAATGTACGACTACCATAATCGTGATACCAAAACTATGATAAAAAGTACACATATTGAATAATTGGGTTAATTAGTCATTAATGTTTTGATCACGAGAAAGATAGAGGGATTTAATTATTTTACTCTAAACTATATATATAGCTAGATTGAAACTTGTACTTTCTTCTAATTGAAGAGAGAACCATTACCCGTGTTATTATTAATTAGCAGAAACATCAAAAAGGAGAAATCCTATTGAAATTTCTAAGATATAATGTTCATCCTGAACAGCCAGTCCTAGGATAATGGGTGACATCACCAATTAATTGCTTTAATTTATGATAAATGTCTTAACTTGGTGCTCTGGTTTCTAACATTTAGAACATGTCAGATGATGAATTCATTGATACGTTAAATACTTATGAAACTGGACAACTAAATACGTGCATGTATTTCTTGTTGACAAGACATGATTGCGCCATAAAAATGATACCAACCTCCAATCAAAGCCAAAACAGAGCCAACATTTTTTGAATAGCTCGTACACATGACAAGGTTGCCACCTAAAGTGGATAAACTTGAGGGCTATTATCACAATTAGGTGCGGTATATATGTAGTTAATTACCACTTTTTATGCCTCCACATAATTAATTCTTGCATTTGGTCAACCAATCAAACTATGGTCACTCGCAATTGTTATAATTAGTTATCATGATTTTTTTTATTATTAAAAACTTAAACTACTATACTTAGGCTTGCACGTGAATAATTTAATGGATAAAATCTAGACAACTTTTTTAGTTTTTTTTTTGTTTGTTTGTTAGCATGTCTATGGATCTGCTTCTCATGCACACTCATGTTCCAAGCTAATTCACATTAGATTGAAGGGAAAAAATCTTCAACTTTGATGCACGATATCTATAAAGGAAAATCAAACATGTACTTATTTTCTATTTAAAATTAGAATTTCACTCATGTAACAAAAGTTTACACCAAAGATTAGCTTAAAGTAGGCGAACACCAATTTTAATGGAAAACAATACAAAAAAAATGCTTTAAAAAGTACATATATGTTTTGTCTTGATTTTAAAACATCTTTTGGGTCAAGTCCAAGCGAGATGTAAAAATAGAACCAACTATTGTATAAATTTAAAGTGATGGTACACATAACAAATCATTAAAATGCAACATCACTTTTGAGTTTATTTATGATTTTCATCATATAATTTACTATCTCTATTCCCACATATATAAGAAACAAATGTTTAATTCACTAAGATCAATGAAAGTAGTCAAATTAGTTAGTTATAATTAATAATGTCATCATTTTAATTTTTATTCTAATAATATTCATATAATTAAATAATATAGGTCATATTTATATTTAATGACACTACTCAAAAGTTAAGAAATAATTCTTTCAACTAATATATATGACTTATAGTGTTAGTTGTCCAATAAATACATTCATTTTTATAAAAATTGAGTAGAAAGCCCATTAATAAATTGATAATAATAAATTAAGAATATAAAAGATAATTATTAATTAATATATTAAAAAATAGCCTATGTTTCTTATAATTGGGACTAAAATAAAGTTTTCATTTATTTCTTATGAATGTAAAAGAAAGTAGTATTCCATTTAAAAATTCTCTCTCATTTTTTCTTTTTCTCTCTTGACAGTTAGATTTGCTGTATAAGTAATATTTGGTCCTGTTGATAAAAAACAGACTCATATTATAAAAAGGACTTAGGTTTTATTTTTGTCAATATGAGAATTTTATTGGTGAATAATCTCTAACTTTTCATGCAGCCTTGAGGCCCGTTATATCTATGATGAATTCTTGAGATTCAATTCATCTGAATTTTAAATTAAAAAAAGAAAAAAGTATAAGCTGATGAAGACTTTATTAAAGTATATCAGCTTTGAATTTAAAATTTAAATCTAGTAGCTAGAGTAGTGCAAAGAGGTTGAGGTTTTTACGTGGGAACATTAAATGAGTGTTCCACCAAATTGCCTGGGCATGAAGGCAAAGAGCTAGAGAATAAGTGCACTTCTGACTCCAACAGAAAGCACGTGTTGGTGTTGAGATTAATTTATTTACCTTGTTTCCTACGACCAATTTGTGATCATTAAGCGTGTGTTTGCTTATACGTTGAAAACGTGGAAAATCACGTTCAACGTAGAAGCTATTACTAATAGCTTCTATGTTGAACGTGATTTTCCACGTTTTCAACGTATAAGCAAACACACCCTTAATGATCACAAATTGGTCGTAGGAAACAAGGTAAATAAATTAATCTCAACACCAACACGTGCTTTCTGTTGGAGTCAGAAGTGCACTTATTCTCTAGCTCTTTGCCTTCATGCCCAGGCAATTTGGTGGAACACTCATTTAATGTTGATCCACTCAGATTTAATTACTGCAGCTCCCTCCTTCATTCACGAGTGGTGGATGGTGCTTAATTAATACAGTATGTTGCAACTTGCACCAATAAGAACCTTCCTATTTCCTAACTAGGTTATCTACAGAAAAATCTGCCATTTCTCACATTAAAAGAAGGATAAATGTATTAGCATGTAAAACTTGATTCCAATCGGAGAACACCACTGATAGTATTTATAGTGCTTTATCTAAATTTTGTTCTTAAAAAAAATCTATTTTCTAAAGTATTGAAATTTCCTGCATCACTTAATGAGGAAGTAGATTCGTACCAGAATTCTGTCAATCATTAACTATGTTGTTATGATCTTAGGTACTACTACTAGTGGTTTCTCATGATTTGTTGGTCCTAAAATGGAGAGTGAAGAACAATTATGCATGAGTTTTTATGGCAGAATATGGCGTAATACGAAAGTTACTTCATAAATGTTGAGGTGTACGATTTTATTAAAAATGGGCATTTATTCCTACTCATCCATATATACAGATTTTTTTCTTCTGTATTTTTAAGTAAGAATACATATATAGCTATGGAAGATAATCTAATTGCTCAAGCTATAAATTCGTAAATTTCGGTACCAGTAAGTTTTGTATACACTTTTGTAGTATTACTCTATTTATATAGATTTCGTGCTTAAGTATTGAAATTTAGAAATTACCAAAATATTTTTCCACACACAATCTGATCCTTAGTGATTTAGAATAGTTTCTATTACAGATTAGGAAGTATGGTCCATTTTCCAAAATGACATTAAAGACTGAAATTACTCACAACACGTTAGATTCGCATTGAAATACCCGTAATTTTAGGAAAATGTAATGCACACGAGTATAGGTTGAGCTCTTTTCGCTGTGGAAAAAAAAATCTGATTCTCTGCCTTTTTCAAAACGGAACATATATATATATGAGGAGGGTTGTAACTTTTACTAAATAATATACCGCTTAATAACTTTATATTAAATGTGAATTTTGTAAATCATTTTGAATTAATATAAAATTTTGTATATATGATCTAAGAGTAAAAAACTTTCGATCTAACGGTTAGATTTACAAAATTCACATTTAATATAAAGTTATTGAGCAGTATAATACTTAGTAAAAGGTATACCTGTGTAATTATAATTCCTAATAAATTTTATATATGATATAAAGTTTTGGTATAAGTTACAACATACTATATATATATATAGAGAGAGGGTTCAAACAACACTGGTGTAACTTTTACTAAGTGTTACACCACTCAATAACTTTATATTAAATGTGAATTTTGAAAATCTAATAGTTAGATATGAACTTTCAATCTAACGATTGGATTTTCAAAATTCACATTTAATATAAAGTTATTGAGCGGTGTAACACTTAATAAAAGTTATACCGGTGTCGTTTGAACCCTCCTCATATATATATATATATATATATATATACTTCAACTTGTCTAAATTAAGCATATTACTTGGATTAGTTATAATGGAAAACACAAAATAAGATTTTAGTAAAAGTAACACGGTTGAATGGTTGGTCGTTTGTATAAAATAAGTAGTTAATAAGTTCATAGTCGACAAAATTGGTTACTTATTAAAACATCGATTGATCAAGCTAACTAATTCTATCCATTATCCATGCAAACTGTGCGCGAGGTCCACCTTATTAAGAGACCAATTTTGACATGACTATGAAAATATCTTCTAGGAGAGGGGGGGACTGGGTCACTGTTCCCAGAAAAATAACAAGACATGTGTTTCATAGTACACTCGGGGACATTATTAGTTGGCTATATTTGAGCACTATAAAGACAAAAATAGTTACAAAAATATAATTGTTATCTATTTGAAACCTTGACAACTGTTGATATTTGTTCTATACAATGTGCAATATTATTAGACTGGTCACGAATGATTCATTTATATAGTTTGTATAGACATGTGCCACCATTGTCAACTCACTAGCTTTCCGTTTCAAATGCGATTGGATTATTTTCCCACCATTGTTGCATCAAAATTATGATAGGACTCTACTGAAAAGGACTACACTAAATAATATATAATCCAGCTTCAACTGCTAAAAATTAAGATTATGATCCAGGTTTTGGTGCTGCTAAAATCTTTTAAGAACATTTTGTACTGAACAAGCTCAAGCATTTACAAGTCTATATAATTTGCTTTAAGAAACACATTAAAAAATGTAAACTGGATACGATTTATTTAGTTCAACATTAAATTGCATTACAATATGGTTGTTGCCAGTACATTAAAGAGTTCTGACATCAATGGCTTGCAGTTGAGCGTCTGAATAATGATTCTAGCTCATCAACCAGGTAAAGTAGATGAACATCAGTTACTTTCATACCAGGTTACACGAGGACATATGAAGCATGATAATGATTATTGCTCATAACATGACCCTGGACCAACAGGTGCCCTTCTAGCATAAAAATTTGTGACTGGAGCAGCTGGAACCCCTCGTTTATTCAATAGACATCTGAAGTTTTGAAACCGGGGCAATGCAGTTAAGGTAACATTTTGCGGAGAAGTAGAATCTCTTTGACTCCATAAGCGTTCTGCAGGAAAAACGAGTAATTAATTTTGCATAATCAAATTCGTAAGTCTGCATTTTCCAATCCCACCCGTTCTTCCCTCTTCCCCCAAAAAATATATGTTACAGTCAAAGGAAGTTTGATAAAGAGAATAGGCACCTCTATATAAGAAAAACGATTGATAGATTTATAAATGTCAACCTATATCAATTGTGTATCCTCAAAGGAAAGGGAGAAAAATCAAGAAATATATATTGAATATCATATCATACACGAGTCCTTCATATTAAGTAAGAAGTTGTTGGTCCAAATGGTATTGGACTCGATCCCTTTAAGTTCTTGATGAAGATGGTCACTTAGATTCTTTAACAGAAATTAGTTATTGATGAAGTTGGGTGAATAATTTGTATTAATAATATGGTTATTAAAAAAATACATGAGCTTTTCATATGGTTTGTGTATTTTACCATTTACATAGGTTGTAGCAATAAGATTATAAGTACACTACAAGAATGTTGGACAACTTAGCATCAGCAAGAATGCCCTACCTGCTGCTGCAGCAGCTCGTGGCCATATTGTTTGCTGAACATTGGATGTATCAACTGTCTCACCCCACATGCAAACTTCTCCTCCAATTACAAGTTCTTGTTCGGAAGCTGTATTTATTCCCTCTAGTGGCTCAGCAGTATAGACCTCATCCCAAGGTACATCCAGATGGTCAAGATACCATACACCCTGGTTACTGTAAATGCACCTGAAACCTTTTGCTACAACCTTTGGACAAACACCGGGGCCCAACCTACGGTAATTACTTGATATTCTTTATTCTGAAACCAAGACTTTTGAGTTTTGTCCTGCGCAATGAAAGTACTTGTACAGATGGGAACTCACCAGTTATGCACTATGGTTTTGGGATGGAGTTTTGATGGAAATGTATTGAAGGTTTCCTCCCTGAGAAGTTGGGAAAAAATATCACATCTAAAAAATGTATCTACATTTCAAGAACATGTAGCAAACAGAACAATTACTATTTGATTAGCACATAAAGTCACAAACTGTATGCTTTTTTTGGTTCCTCACCGGTTTTGGAAGCAATTATGTTCAAAGCACAATCAAACACTAAATATGGACACTTTTCCTAGTGAATATTTGAACATTGGTTCACCTCGTGCAAGGCACTATGTAGTTCAATGCATATGCAAACTATCGGTGGCATTTGAATTTTTAAACATCGATGTTATCAACAGAAAGAAAGGATTAGGATGGAAAGATGATACGTAGGTGAAACAGACGCTAAGGACAAATTAAGGGTAAAAATCAGCTTTCTTTAGTTATAATACCATATATATACAGATCATACCAGTTTACTGGACTCCAATTTTTTGAAACAGCTATCTCTTGGGCCTTCAGTACAAAATATTGATAGGCATCGTTAGTAGTCATGTTGTGATTCTGAAGCCTGCATTCGAGTAAAGGTCAAAATACAGAATAAATGTCACATCTAAAAATAGTGCCTTTACATTAACAATTGATCAGATTCACAATGGTTAACATTTCTGGAAATTGACAACCATCTCAATGCTCAGTAGCAAAAATGGTGTGAGAAAGGGGAAAAAGAAAACAAAAAAATTGAGTAGCTAATTTCCTATGAATGATCTTGTTAAAAAAGTAATATAAAACTGTTCATGTGTCAATTTCAACACAAGGTAAATGGGTTTATGCATTTGTCCATCCTCCAAGCCCAGAGGGCTGTTGAATGAGGGGATGTGTTGAAGATAATAATGTAAAACCATTCATGTATCTTCAACTAATAACTTAATCTTTTGGGAATTGAGATTATTGGTTCATGACAGGTTCAAAGCAAATACTTCCAAAAATTCAGTTGATTGCAAAGGATGACAAATGAAGTCACGCAACAGAAATCTCTCCACAATTACTCTTCTTCCCCTTCAAATGCTAGAAACCATGCAAAGATTAACAACAAAATCAGAGCCTGTAATTCAGTCTACATTGAGGTTGTTGTCTGTTAAAAGCTTTGAACGGTAAAGAAAAATACAAGTTTTGAAATGAAAATATTCCTGCAAGGCACAGCATTTGCCAAATCCTTTACACATAAGAAGTTTAGTTGAGTTTCCAAAAATTGTAAATAACTGGCTAAACAAAAAGACATCATAGAATGTAATGAGTTCAACAAGCTAATGTCAGTACCATCCCTTTATATGAGAAGTACTTCTCCAGCAATCTGTCAAATAAAACATAAATCTCACCAATTAGCATTGATACAAATATCTTCAACATTTCAATAACCATTTAAAGTTTGTTATATTATAAATGTTACAAAGTCAAACACATGGTCAATGTTTTGAAACGACTTCTGAATAGACAAAAAACCCATATTAAGAAACCTGAGGACTTTTCAAACTTCAATAATAAATAAACTCGTCGAAACTGAGTGTGGACTTTGGAAAGAAAATAAGTATATGAAAAACAATTCTGAGGAAACTTCTGTTCCACGGGTTTTTATGATAAAAAACTATCAATTCAAAGAGGTGTATCTGCTTTTGCAACCCTCATAATATGTAAGCTTAAATTACTTCATTCATATGATAACTTCAGTAAAGACCAACTAATACATCAATCTATAATATCAGTTTTTAACTTATGATTGAAGGTAGTAATGCAGGACCATTAAAATTTTTAAATATAATTTCAAACAAGGAAGAAAGTTGGTGGTAGGTGTATCCAAGAGCATTAATGATTTATCCATTGCTCTCCGTTCTCATATAGCATTTATCACTTCAGAAATTAACTTAAAAGTTGTATGATGTGGACCACTATAGTAATTACGATAATTGTTAGACATGGTCCTACTACTTAGGGATCTCTTTTATTTTTATTTATTAATTAGGATAATAGTTAGTTATGATTCTATTAATTAGAGATTTCTTTATTTTTACCTTATCAATTAGGATAATTGTTAGGGATGTCTTTGTAGTCTTTTTTAAAGGGCAAACTTGATTGGTATATTGTCAGAAAATATTTTTCACAAAAACTAGTGTTAGTTTAGGAAGGGCTCTGTCAAGGACAAGTCTGCTTCTTCCTTTCACCATAGGTTGCAAGAAGAATTATTCTGTCCAGATGACCCGTGACTCGATTGTATGCAAAGGTTCATAGCATTGTACCGATGATAAAACCATTTCTCCCTCATTTAAAAGCATTTAGCTTTTGGGTCAAGTGGTTCTTTGGCAAGTTGCAAGAAAGAAACCACTGAGACTGACCTGTATTAACTTCATCACCACCCAAGTGAAATAGCTCAAATGGGAAAATCTTTCTCATATCTGCAAAATTAAAGAGAGAAAGATAGTTAAATTTTGTGTGTTGAGAGAGGAGCACAATACATAAATATTAGACACAGTTGATAAAACAGAGACAGTGGATGAACTAGACACATTTTAATGTACCACAGGAAGATATGGAAAGATGTTAGGATGATCTGGTATTAACAATGCCCATAATAATTTAATAATATTACAAGGTATATTAAGGACAAGATTAAGTGGCAGAAGAAACAAAAGAATAAAGAATTAAAGATGCATGAGTGGATGGATGTATGTTTAATTAATGCTGAAACAAACAATACAAGAAAAAATGAAGAATGCGCAAGTAAACTAGCAAATTTCCTAATATTGTCTCCCACTTCCACAAGACTGGATTAAAATTATGAAACTAAAGAGGATGTTAGGTAAAACAGAGAAATAGAAAAGAACTAAAATTGTAATTTTAAAATAATCTCCAAAGAAATTCTTAGTTATATTATAGGTATAGCTATGGTACTTTGATGTCAAAAATATAATTAAAAAGGATACTGTTAGATATAATTAAAAAGGATACTGTTAGTTATATTATTTATTCATTTTTTAATGTACCTATTTTTCTTCTCCAATCACCTATAATAGGAAAATAAGTAATAAATACTTTGAAAAACTAAAATATTAATTATTTTCCTAATTATTGTGCATAACTTTAAACGTGAAACAAAAAAAAAAAGCGGAGTGAGTACATCATCAAGACATATATATAAAGGAGACTTGAATATTAAATTTAATAAATTTAATTGTATTCAATGGTGAATTAAAGTTCTCATATTAATGTTATTTATTATGCTTGTAAAACACTTCCTTTTATATTTATTTATCGTTTTAAAAAACTCACGTTATAGTAGCACCGGTATAAAATTTTGTGTGTATATATATATATATATAGTCTAAAAGTAAAAAACTTTTAATCTAACAGTTAGATTTACAAAATTTACATTTAATATAAAGCTATTGAATAATATAATACTTGATAAAAGTTAGACACCTCTCTTTTTCTTTTCTATTGTAATTTTTGGATTATTTTATAATGATTTTTTAACTTTTCATTTTTCATATAAATATATATATATAAATAAATAGATGGACTAGAAACGACATTTCTTATCTCAATGACAACAAATATAGGTATATTAAATGAATGGAATTAGTATATAGATGTAATATAATGAAATAAAGCCACTTTGAGGTTCCCTATGAAATGGGGCATGGAATGGAGCCATTGCAAATAAGTTTTACAAGTTACGAAAGAAACTTCGAGCTCATATTAGTCATACCGGTATTATTATAACCTTTCTCAAACCTTAATTATATGATTATTGATACATATAATTTTGTGTATAGTCCAAGTACAGTTACACGTGTTATAAAGATAAAATAGTCATCTAAAAAGAATTTGCACAAAATTACATAGCTCGAACCCATTTTTTTTTCTAAATTTTTTACCCTTATAAAATTTAAACGATCTATTTATTATAAAATATTTTATTAATATTTAATAAATTGAATTACATAAATTAAACACAAATATATTTTCATAGAAAATTAAAAGTATCATGAAAAATGCATATAATAGTGAAATGATAATTATTTTAATTATTTTTAACATGAATGTACATTCAAATTCAAATTTTAATTGATTTATCTATATTTATATATTATTGAAGGTAAAATAACCTTTTAAAAAAATTGTTAGTGTGGTGAGTCAATTTCTCAATTCTCCATGTGCAGGACATTGGAATGCAGTCATCCGCATTCTGAAGTATATCAAAGGTGCTCCAGGAAAAGGTTTATTATATGGCTACAACAATCATACCCAGGTTGTGGGATACTCAGATGCAGATTGGGCAGGCTCTCCCTCTGACAGGAGATCCACCTCAGGCTATTGTGTCTTTATTGGCAATAACTTGATTTCGTGGAAAAGTAAGAAGCAGAATGTAGTGGCAAGATCTAGTGCAGAAGCAGAATACCGTGCCATGGCCTCTGCTACGTGTGAGCTTATTTGGCTCAAACAGTTGCTTAAAGAGCTGAGATTTGGCGAAGTTTCACAGATGACTCTCATATGTGATAACCAAGCTGCCCTGCATATTGCCTCAAATCCAGTATTTCACGAGAGGACCAAACACATTGAAATAGATTGTCACTTCATTCGTGAGAAGATTTTATCTGGGGACATTACTACTCAGTTTGTTAACTCTACTGATCAGTTGGCAGATGTCTTCACCAAATCATTACGGGGTCCTAGGATTGATTATATTTGTAACAAGCTTGGTGCATATGATCTATATACACCAGCTTGAGGGGGAGTGTTAGATATAATTTAGTCTTATGGGCCTAGGCCCACTACTTTGTATTTAAACACATCTCTAGAGCACAATATACACAAGGGAATATGTTCTCTTCATTCACCATCACTCTCAATAGATACCAATTGAACTGTTTCAATTGAACTGTTTCACTTTCATCATAAGGAAAAAAGTGTTTTCGCCTTTTCGGTATATTATCAGTACTTTCCTGGAGGTACAGTGGACATATGCAACGATCACCATGGCCAAAAAAGTTAAAAACTTGAATCGGATTAGTTGATTTTCTTTGATGTTTCAATATAATCAGCAAGCATCTGGATTCCTAATCAATTGTACAGCACACGAGCACCATATGGCTCCTTGGTATCATATTTTATGTAGCCCTTTTGCAAGGCATATAACTACTTAAGCATGTCACAGCAAATTTCCATGCATTCACACTCGTCAGATCCTAACTCACAATTCACATCTTCAGATATAAGTTGGGCGCTCTGAAGTCTGAACCTATATTTGTACCTATTATCATCCAAACATGTCCCAACTTCCTAAATTTCAAGTGACAAAGTGGATACAGAATAATGATTAAGGAAAAAAAATATATTAAATTTACAAAAACTAGCATATTTTTGCAGTCTGGGAATTCATCAAGAACAAGGTAGTTTATAAGTAGCTTTTCTAATAAATCAGTATCTATAAATAAGGATTGCTTTGCTATCAAACTAGGTATTTATCAAGATTTTCCTATTTAGGAATACTACAGTTTTCAGTTTATTTTTGAAATTCTTGTTATTATTCAGCTGTTCTTGTTCTTTCGCCCTTCCCTTCTCCCTCTCCTTCCCACTCTAAAATTTCCTCTTCATCCTTTTCACGTTCTCTTCAACCAATACATTGTTTAGCATGAATTCAAAAAGTCATTAATGATATTCAATAAAGGAGACAGAAAGATAGTTGTTAAATGTAATGCACAAATATGGAAATAACTGAACAGCTGTGGGGCTTAAGGTTTTATAGGAATTTAACCTGTCAGAATACCAGAAATGACATCAAAAGTAAAAGTCTTTGAAACATCTAGTGGCTCCCTACAGGAAGGTGACGGCCAAAGATCAGGATATCCAGCACCCCTACAAAAAAAATATATTAATAAAAGTAATCGATTAATACTTGAATAAAAAAATTTAAATGTAGTGCTTGACATCTATGTAATAATCAGACCACGCAAATATGTAGGGGAAAAAAAATAATCAACTGCTTGCTAACAAAATTTTGATTCAATGTCAATCCTAGCAAGTAGCAATCAATGGAGGAATGAGTTTAGCATATACCTATATTCAACACCAAACTTCCTTGATGAAATTACAAGTTGCTAGCTAGACTGCATAAACTTTTCTACAGCCAACTCTTTCTTAAAATAAATATTTATGGTAAATTGCGAAAAGTAAAATAAATTTCATGGGTCTCTATGTGTCACAATAATGAAGCCAATTATTGTCACACTACCGGGCCATACTTAAGGGGAAAAAATGACCGAGGCATGTGCTTTACCATGATTCTGCATGACCAGGGACATCTACTTCCGCCATCACATTTATGCCTGTGATAAACCACGCAAATGCTCAATAAATATATGACCAGATATATTTTAACAGACATAAAAAATAGCCTCATGAAAGCATGCAGATTTACTTGTATTTTATAAATGTATTTTACATGATACTAAGAAGATGAAAGAGAAGAAAGGAAAAGAAAAGCCTAAAATCCAAAGTCATGATCAACTACAAAATGCTGAGGATGAGGATATTATGTAGTAGAAACTTTGAAAAAGGAATTTGATGATACCTCACCTCTCATTTTGGCGAAGCTTTATATCAACATGTGGTGAAACATGAAAAGAAAACACAATATTTGTCAATTATAGATTAAGAAATCAAACCCAAAGATAGTTACTGGAAACTACCAACTCAATAAAAGGAAAAGGCATTTCATGTATCAATTGACCAGGATATTATAATAGTATCTTGGGATTTTAATCATGTATTTCTTCACTACCATTGATAGCCTTTCTTGTCCTCTCTTAGCAGTTTCAAATGAAATTTTACAATTAACTATTTTCAGTTTAAAAGTGTTTGTCATATAAAAACTAGTGACGAATTTAATATAGAATAATTGTAGTGGCTAAATAATTTACAACTGGACAGTTTGAGGCAAAGATAATTTTATCAGACTTAACAGATAATTTATTTCAACTTGCTGTTCCGTTGGTAAATTTTCTTTGCTAAGGAAAATTGTTAAAACAAGAAAGTATGAAGACAAAAACTAATTTGGATACGGTGAGTCTTACTTGACAATATCATATGCATCTTCTACTGTGTAACGTTCCCACTTTGTATATGAACCTTTCCACAATTTTGGATATGTAGGTACCTCAAGAGGAAATGACTCCTCGTCTATGATGTGCCAATGTAGAACATTCTGTGAAGCATAATTTTTTTATTCAGCATTACATGAAACAAAAGAGCATGCAAGGAGAATGAGAGAAACTTATAACAGATATCTTACGAGTTTAGCATAGGACATAGCTTCAATAATCTGCTTAATTACATTAATTGGAAAATAGTGCCTTGATGTATCTGCAAAAATAGATAAATAAATAAAATCATATGTATCAATATCATCCGATCATAGACTAGCATAATATAAACGTTTTTCTTCAAAAACATTGTGCCTCACCCAACAAAAGCCCACGAAATGCAAATCTAGGTTTATCTTGGATGGACCAAGGTGCCTTGTATATTTTTACTGTTTTAGTTGTATAATCGAAAGAACACAACTGGCTGAATGTCTGGTGCATCATGCAAAGATAACAATGGTTCAGTTCTCATTTTTCAAGGTAAAAAAAAATAAAATAAAATAAACTAAGACTTTGAACAATTTACTATTAGTATGCCATTACATATACATGTTAGGAGGGTTTATACTTCCACAATATCAAGATCAACAATGTAAAGGTATAAGAAGGAAATACATCCTAGTAAATTGCTGAAATCTTATCCCGTGTACAAGGACACAGCAGATCACAGAATTACCAATCCTATGGGGAAAAAACAAACCTAAAAGATGAAAAAATGGAGAATGAAGATACATGCTAGAAAATAGTATATGTCGGTCAAAATCACTACTCTTCCAGAGATATTTGGTATCTATAATATAACTCCAGTAATCAGATATGAAATAAAGCTATCAAATATTATGAATTTAAACGGTAAACAAAAAAACTAACTGCTCTCTATTCATCAATCTTTACCTCCTCACCTTCTCTGTCCACCACCGCTCCTCCAATTCAAGCCACCAAATAAAGCAAAAAAGAAAAAGAAGAAAAAAAAATAGTTTGAGCTGATTGAGATACAAATTCTATACATACCTCTAACCCACGCAATGCACCATAAACAGTATTTGCCTGCAATAAACAAAATCACAAAATAGGATGACTAACCATCCGGAATGACTAAGAAATAAATCACATAATTTACCTTATATATTCTAGTCTAAAAGTAACCAGCCAAGCACAACTCTACCTCATTCATCATTTTTTTTTTTTTTTTTGAAAAAACAAAAAAAAAAAATTCCGCAACAATTGCTTGAGTAAATTTTAACGCTAATGTACAATACAATAGTTAAGATATGCGTTGTACTGCTATCCAAGAAAGAAAACGAAAGTGCTTGACCAATTGTTTCTAGTACGGAAAAGTAGGAAGGTTCCTCAAAAACAAAAAAAGGAAACAGAAAAATATAAAACCGAAAACCAACTTCAATTCAGCTTTTCTCCCACTCAGAAAAAGACGGAATAAACTCTAGAGTCATCCAACATTTATTTCAGATAAACAGTGTCTAAAGGCACTCATTCCATTAATCATCCACACTCAAGAGGTTGTAACAAGAAACATCAATTTCAAAAAAAAAAAAAAAAAAAAAAAAAACAGAGTATCATCAAATAACAAAATCCAAAATTCGTAATCAGCAACAACGCACCTCAGCAAACCAAGGGAGTCAAACTCAATTGGTGCGAGATGCATTATTGAGAAAATTTCATCCACGAGTCTAATTCAGTTGATCGAGCAGTGCATGTAAGATGTTGTAATTTGTAAATATCATGAATATAAAAAAAGTAATGCACCTCACCTCAAGTGTGACTTGTGAAGATTCTTTGGCTTTAGGAACCACCAAGGTATAGCTTTCATCCACTCCAAGTTGAAGCTGCAAAAAAAAAAGTCCCGAGTCCTCAGTCAAAAAAGTCAAAAGCGAATTGAAATTGAGTTCACGGTGATTCCCGAACCTCGTCGTTGTCGGAATGGACAGTGACATTCAAAGTGACAACATCGTACTGAGTAACAGACACCAACGGCAAGCGTTCCCTGAGCTTTCTGATGAAGCCGTAGCCGTAGCCGTACCCGGCGTGGTCGAAGACGATCCGTCGGTAGCGGTCGAAGGCGGCTCTGAGAATGGGGGAGGCGCCGCCGTTGCCGGCGACGGAGAGCGTGAGGGCGGGGTCAACGGAGAGAACGTCGTCGCCGGAAGCGAATTGCGCGGGGAGAGGCCACAGGTAAGTGAGGGATTGGGGGTGTGGGTCCCCTTGGCTGAGCGCGGAGGAAATGAGGAAGAGAACTAGGCATGCGGGTTTCAAGAGGAACATGGTGGCATGGAAATTCAGCTCCAGTGAAGAGTGAAGAGTGAAGACAGGGTTTTATTTTTATTTTGGAGGAATCTTTTTATATACAAGTGTCGGAATACAAACAAGATCTCATATTAAAATAAAAAAATAAACATGAATTTATATATATATAATTATTTTTATTAGTTGAGAGACCTTTTAAGTGATGTTCAAAAATAAATAATGAGATTTAATCTCAAAATTGACAATAATGTGTATGTGTGTAGTAACTCTGTATTACACGTAACAACGGTAACAACCACGTTACTACTGTGCAAACTTTCTTATTCTACTACTATTTTACGGGGCTTTTACTGTCCACACCGTCTTCTTCATTCAAACCCAAAAACAACAATGCCCGCCACGTTTCATCAAATATTCTTTTTTTTCAAAATTATAAATTTTACTAAGTTAATCAGAATGTTACCAAGATGATACTAAAAGATGAAAGTTGATTATAAAACTTGTCCTAAAATAGCATTCAACTTGGTGCTCTACTAGCCGAATTCACATACATTCATGAGGTAATTGATAATTTTGAAAAATTGTGTGTAAATTTTATCCTTACATTTTCCTTTTGTGGAACATATAAAGTAGAATCTAGATCATGGACTGTGCTTAATTTAGATTTTTGGTCTCATAGAAGTGATAAACACGAAGACACCATTAACAAAGTCTTTAATCAAGTGGCTCAATTAATATAATAGTTTTGAATAGATTAAATGACACGTTTTCATGATGGAGCTGATCCTACGGATACCTACCTAACACACCTCATTATATACATGGTAACTCCGAGTCAATCCCCCACCCTACATTATCATGTTTAATTTTTTTATTAAAAAGACAATACTTTGGTTTTTTTTTTAAACTTTGTATTTACGTTTAGTTCTGTTCAACAATAAAGTTGTAAGAAAGTAAATTTACGTTTAATATGATTTTGGAATTCAGGAATAGAGTAAAACAAACACACTCTAAATCAATAGTATTCGCTTTGTCTTCTTAGTTCATAATTTTGGTCATCTTCTTTTAATACATAATTTAATTGGTCTTTAAATTAAAAAAAAATGTGTAATTTTGTTCCAACCGTTAAATTTATATACATAGCTGTTTCGATCAGAAAAACTATTCATGGAAAAAAGTGAAAAATTAATAGTATTTCATGTTGTTGCATTTTTTTCATCCTTGTTTCCTGTTATTGCTCATCACATAACAATTATCACCAAAGCGAATCGGTCTAGTTTAAGAACTAAATGAAATTATTTTACTTACATTTACAAGTATTATTGAACTTATGTTCGGACGAATGTAGGGGTGTTAAAATGGAGATAATCCAATTCATTTTTTTACTAACTAGATGCAGGTTGGGCCAGCCCAATAGCCCAATTTTGTTTACTGTTTATTTTTGTTTTATAATTAATAAATTCGTAAATAATATATATATATATA